GAAAGTTGTCTTCCCCGCCTTGCGTGAAGCAGGGACAGCACATAGTTGCGGTAGCTCATCCAGTCCGCGCCCTGCTCGAGGCCGCCTCCACAGAAAAGCCCTGCCGCTTCCTGCCATAACTGCAATCCCAAGCTGTCCTCGAGTTCGTCGGGAAGCGGTTGCGCCTCGTCCAGGCCAACGAAAGCATCCGTCGACAGCTCCCACCTCTGCTCCATGTTGCTTCCATCACTCGGCACCTGCCACTCCGTCGCCGCTTTGGGAACCCACCCTGCTTGGAGTAAGAATAGCAGAGCAGAAGAAAGCGGGCCTCGGACCTGCCGACTTCGCTGTCCAGCAGGACTATCCTGGCGAGCCGCCACCGTCCTCCACGCTAAGGCCGCCGAAGCTCGGAGGCGTGGTTCGCGCAGCCAAGAGTCGAGCCACTGACTGGGGCACAATCTGGGTAGCACCACGCCAGGGTCCGTGCCTGGGAGGCGGAGTGCTTATAACGACGTCAAGCACCTCCCCCTCTTTGCGGACCCTGCAGCAGTTCCTAACCCCTAACCCCCTCTGTGTGACTGAGCATCACTGAACCAACACACCCAATAATCAGATGTCCGTATGATGCCGAGGCGTGGACCCGTCCTCTGAATCTTGCTAGTTGACGTCCACCTCCTCGCCGCCAGCGCGAACCGTCGAAGCCGTTGATGTGCAGCCCCTGACTTTTTCACTGCGAGCTGTATCCCGACCGCGTCGACGACCTCCAGCCAAGCCAATGGCTAACTATGAGGACAGTATGGATACTTTGATGTCTATGCCTTTTTCGCTTCAGCCGATGAGCGACGTTGAGCGCATTCTGAGGATATGAACACACCACCACGCTCTTCGCTGCGATGCCCAGCTTGAGCTTGCGAAACTCATTGACCGTGGTGACCACGGACTTCACCACTGTACTCCGGACATGTTCACGGCTGCCTGGGACGCGCTCGAGCACGTCATCCATCCAAAGCCGTTCCGACATCGGCAGGTGTGCAATTTCCAATTTCTCGCAAACGACCGCCGTGTGACATTTAGCGAACTTTGTGCCACTCCTCGATCCCTGTATGACCGACTTGGTGGCCTGACATGGTAGCGGGCACGAATGAAATGGCTGGGACAGCATCTGCGGCACCATGCAGAGCTGCCCCTCCAAGAACAGCACCACGGGATGGTACCCTTTCCTGATCGCGCACTCCGCACGGATATACCACTCGATCCCGTCGTAGACGGCCTCCCCGCGTCGAGCAGGGCCTGCCCGTGGGGCAAGCGGGGCAGGTCTGGACCTCGTCCTCCAGCGCCCTCACGAACACCTTCCGCAAGGCTCTGTTCCCTGCGATGGCCGCGTCCCAGTAGTCGTCCTGCTGGTCTGCCCACCCGCGCGCAAGAGGCTAGCGCGCGAGCGGCCACGCTCTGCATAGCATGCCTAGCAGGCCTATGCATCGATCACCACCTGACTTGTTTCCGAACAAGCGCCCGAACACGCGCAGTATCTGCGACGGCCAATTGAGACCCTCTTCGATCACTGTGAACAAGTTGCTCAACTCCTGAATTGCCTGATCTGGTAGCCTGGCGAGGTCCAGAGAAGACATCATGTCCACTCGTTAGCCCTCAAGGGGCTTCATTTTTGACAGAGCATGCCGTATCTCCTCGATGGATACAGGTTCTAATTGTTCGACTTCACCGTGCTCACTGATCATGTCGCACGCTCCTATGATATCATCGAACCCTGACACCGGGGATGACCACATACTGCCACTTGCCTATCTTGCCGCCGACAATCTCCACAGGATGGACCAGCAGCTGACCGTCGATGTATGAACCTCGTCTTGCTCTGGTGTCTGTTATTTGATGTATCTGCGAATTGCGCCATGACGCAACCGATCCTATCCATTTTTGGAAACTCTCGCAGCGAAGAGGAGGCCGCTCTATTCTGAGCTCGTCGAGCGGACTTGAAAGCGACCTCCTCGAGTACCGCGAGTTCATCCACGCGGAGATAGTGAAGCTGACGCATAGAACTCAAGACACTTTGTGAGACACCCAAGCTGCCAGCGAAATTCATTCCAGCACCGTCGAGAGGCTGATCATCGAGGCATTGTTCTGCTCTCGCTAAGTGCACCATCTGCATGGCGCCATTACGACGCCGCCTGTGCCGAGATGCCTGCTTGATCACTGTGTGCCCTCGGCACAACCACGATACGATGCCTTCGTGCAGCGGCTGAGTACGTGCATGATCAGCCACCATGTCTGGGCCAACCTCGAGTTCAACTCCTTGGGCTCGGGACCGTAGCGGCGGATCCAAGCCATGATGACTGGTGATCGCCCTCTTGGTTGTGTCCACCCATCGCCCGAAGCTGCCGCTGACTGGCAGGATGTGCCTGATTCCTGCCTTTGATGAAAGAAATTGTCTGATGGGATTCCAGACATCGTGATGGGAATGTGAATGCCAAGAAGCTTGGGCCGCACACGATGCCCACCTGGAAGTTGGGTGGAGAAACAAGGCAAAGGGGGAGATCAGCATCAGCAGGGGTGTGCGGATCATTATGCTCCCCAGCCATGCTGGGGCCCCTTTCCCGAAGACGCTCGACAGGGGGGACCGCCAACTCATCCCTCGAAAGCTCGCCAATCACCTCAGCCTTGACCTCTTCCCCAGACACGTGAGCGAGGTGATCACCTAATTAACAGGCTGGCCTGAGATCCTGAAACTCCTACATTGCCTGAACTTGGACTGCAACCGGAAGAGTTTGTGCTGGTGGGGCCAAGGGGTGCAGTCGAGACTAGCAGCCAGCGGCCTCGCGCTTAGGGCGCGAACATTGGGCTGACGGGCACCTCCCAGGCGGGGTGAGGAGGAGCAAGAAGGGGGGGCGAGTGCCTCCGTCAGGAAAAACACAAAAGTTCAAAAACGGGAGCGGACCCAGGACCATCCAGCCTCAAGCAACATCCTCCTCCTCGGAACCAGGAAGGACCACCAGGCCCTTAAATTTGTGGTCGAGGGCGAATGCGCCAAAGGGGGTGGGGCGGGGTCCGACTCCCGAGGCCCGAAGCTCGATCCCGCTGCGGGGGTGGCGACCACGCCACAGCTTACGCAGGCGGTCCCACGCCACAGACCCACGCGGGCAGCTTCCGTGGCAATCTTGACCGAGCTTCTGGGTGTTGTGCTCACTATAAGCACCGCATACACTGCAGAACACAAAAGGGCCCACCGTCCAAACGCGGTGGCCAGCTCCAGGTCTGCAGGGGGTGGCCTTCAAAATCTGGATCGTGCTCCCCGATCTCAGGCACCTGATGCACCTGAAGCCACCCTTGGGAAACCAGACAGGGTCATGAGTGCCCTCGGGAGGCGCAGCATCATCCGAGAGCCGAGGGACGATTCGGCGCCCCCTCCGAAGCCCCACCTCGCGACGGGAGGCGGAGGCCAGACTTGGCCCTGCCCCACGGATGGTCCTGGCCAAGTACTTACCTACATACTGGACCAGCCGATGGGAACGGATCACTCGATCCTCGGCCTCCTGATCGGAGGGGTGCATGGCGGTTCCAGCGCGCGCCGTTACATCAGCAGCCTTATTGCCTAGGCGCCTCCATCGAGCACCATCGTCAAGGTCATCATCGCGCACACGCGCGTGACCCTTGACCTTAATCACAACGACCTCCCCCCCCAAGTCCGACACACGGTCCCAAACCCCCTCCCATAAGTCGGCACAGGCGTGCAACGCACCAGTGGTCTCACAACGTCCCTTACGGAAGCTGGAGACCACCCAATCGCAGTCAGAGAAGTACTCATAGGGGCCAAACATTACATTGTCAAGATACATCTTGAGAGCAAAGAGTTCGGCAACCTCAGGGCTCTGGTTTAAACCTGGGAGGGGGCCGCACAGCGAGGCCAAGACATCCAGACCGCTCGAATTCACCTGGACAACTCCCCAGCCAGCACGGCGAAGTCTGGGGTCAGAGGCCACAAGCGAACGGCACGAGCCGTCTCCAAAGCATGGGCCTTCAAAGGCCCCCGACGGGGGTCGCACGCGCCAGTGAACGAGCAGGTCCATCGTGGGACGAGGAAGCCAGGGCCGAGGGTCAGCCACTGCAACCGGAAGAGGAGGAGCGAGAGGAGGAGGAGGAGGAGGCGGAGGGCTATTGGGAGGAAGAGGAGTGCCACTGGAGAGGGCATTTCCTTGACCATCTCGCGTGCGAAGGTCCTATAGATTTCTTCAAGGCGCGTGTGAGCCCTCCCCGAATCGGAATCGGTGGCTCATGGCCTCCCGTACGGTCTCCCGTCTCGTACGGTCTCCCGCATGGTCTCCCGTGCAATATGGCCTCCCATGTGGTCTCCCGTCTGGCTTCCCGTATGGGCTCCCGTATGCCCGTATGATCTCCCGGACTGTTTCTTGCATGTACAGTTTTCATAGTCTTGTGTTTGCCCTTTAGTTTCGCCGTGTAAGGTCTTTTCCCGCAAGGGTGTGTCTGTTCGGGTTACCAGTGCATTGCATGTTGTGGCGGGGGGAGGGGGTCATACGTCTGTTTGATGGTTTTTGAAGGAGGTTGACGGGGTGGGTGGCGGGGCGGAGTTGAGGAGAGAGGATGAGAGAAATTACGACGGGGGAAGGGAGGACGAGGTGGAGGAGGAAGAGGAGGAGGAGAAGGAGGAGAACGCTGATCACGACGTCGATCACGACGAGGACGAGGGGGTTGGAGAACATGGGGGAGATCTGTGAGGGGCCACTGTCGCTCTATCTCCAATGAAGCTGCCGTGACTACCTCGATCCGGTCTTCTTCGATGCTTCGGCTTTCTTTCCTTTCCCTTCTGCTGCTGTGCCTCCTCCTTCATCTCTGCTGGTCCGCTTCCCTCTCCTTCTCTTCGCCCTCCTCCCTCCTCCTTCGCCTCCGTTAGTTCACTCACTGTCCTCATGGTCCTCCTCGTCGTCAAGTTTCTCCCTCCCTTCTCCTCCGTCCCCTCCTCTGCCTTCCTCGCGCCCAGACCCCCCCGGGAGGAGGACGATGTGGGAGCCGGACAAGAAGGCGTGGTGCTGTCAGAATGAGCCCACCCGTGCCGCGCCACCGCGGCATAGGGGGGGGTCCGGGGCGTGGATAGGGGTGTGGCGGGAGGTGCGTGGAGCGAGAGGAGGGGAGGGGGAGGGGGGGGGGCGGGGTGAGGGCAATAGAGATGGGAGAGAAAGAGTGGGGAGTGGGAATGGGGATGGGTGGGGGAGGGGAGCGAGGGTTCGTGTATTTCGTTGTCATTTTGCTAGGCGTTCTTTCCGCCACCACCGTGCTTTTCCTCCACCAGCGTCAACCTTTCTCCTCCTTGGCACCGCCACCGCCCTTCCCTCCCTCCTTTGCTCCCCGCTTTCCCTTCCTCCCTTTCTCGCGCCCACCTCCAGAGAGGGAAGGATGGAGGGAGTGAGGGAGTGACTGTAGTGGTCGGGGATGGAGGGTAGGGATTGCAAGATGATTCATAGGTGATGGTTGTATTTGTTGTGGCGTTTGGGTGTTGGTGGTGGTGGTGGTCGGATGGAGTCGGCGGGAGAAAGAGGGGGAAATGGGCAGGACGGGAGAGAGAGAGCGAGAGAGAGAGAGAGAGAGAATTAGACAGGGGTTGCGGTTGTGGTGAGGGAAGGAAGGAGAGCTGGATGGATGGGCGTGTGGACATGGTGAACCCTCCATGAATTCCTTGACTTCCCCTCCCATTCCACACCGCCCTTTCCTTTCCCCCTCCACTATCCATCTCCAAGTCCTGATCCCGCAACTACTTTGGCGCAGAAATGCAATCGAGAGTGATCGCAAAGCCCTACCAGCCTGCCGCACTGACATTTTGCCCAGGCAATTCATACTCAAGCGTATGTGGGGACAGTCTTGAGGTCGCCTTGTAGGTGGATTCCTGGTGTTACAAGCAGATGAAACCAGTGGGATAACCAGGACGCCTGGAGGTCTGGAGTCTGGGTCCCTCTCAAAAGCCGCCCCCCCCTGGGCCGGGTCCTCCGCGTTTCCTGGTTCCGGGCGTCGGAAGCGAATTCTGCCGTGGCGACGGAGTCCCCCCCCAGCTGCGGTAGCAACAACACTTGCAACACATCGCATCGAGGGCCCTCCGGGGTGATCGTGTCGCGCGCCAGAGGGCCCAGAGCAGGCAGGTGGCGACGACGACGACGACGCAGACGACCACGACGACGACGACGACGACGACGACGACGACGACGACGACCACGACGACGACGACGACGACGACGACGACGACGACGACGACGACGACGACGACGACGACGACGACGACGACGACGACGACGACGACGACGACGACGACGACGACTACGGCGACGGCAACGACGACGACGACGACGACGACGGCGGTGGCGGCGGCGGCGGCGGCGCCGGTGGCGCTGACGACGGCGCCGGCGACGGCGCATCGGGAGTTGCCACAAGTCTCCCTATTTCGAAGTGTCCGCAGGATTTCTAAGATGTTCAAGTAATGCAGCTGCATTGGTGTGTTTACGGAACTTTTGACAACTTCAGCTCTGCAACTCTTTCTTTTAAAAATGCATGTGTTTTGGAGGCCCCGACGGCCTCCAGGGCATCCCTCACGAGGCCTGTAGGGCCCTGGGGACTCCCAGCCGGTGCGGGAAGCTTGGAACTCCTTGGGCCAGGACCGTTTTCGGCAACATCCGAGCGACGGCGGCGGCGGTGGCGGCGGCGGAGACGGCCAAGGATCGGCGGCGCGCCCAGAGGGGAAGGCAGAGGGGATAGGCCTTCTCAGAAGGTCTCTGAGCCTTCTCCGAAGCCGCGGACAGCTTCTCCGAAGGCCGGAGGGCTTTTGAGAAGCCCTTCCGCCTTCTGAGAGGGCCTCGCCCCTCTCACTCCACCCCCCCCCAGGCCCCCCAGTGCGCCGCCGACAGAAAGGGCAAATTGCGCCGACGACGGCGACGGTCCACGGTGTCGTCGGTGGCGCTGGCGGCAGCGACGGCGGCAGCGTTGGTAGCGCTGGTGGCGTCGACACTGGCGGCGGCTGTGTCGGTGGCGGCGGCGGGAGATGGCCATGGCGGCGGCGACGGCGGCGCTGGCGGCGACGACGGTGGCGGCGGAGTCGGCCAAGGAGGCGGCGGCGGCAGCGTCGCGCGCGCCAGGAGCAGCGCGCCTGCGAGGACGGCACGGGGTACGAGGTCGCCGCGGGCGGCGGCGGCACCGCCCAGGACCTCCGCCTTGCGCCCTCCTCCTGAGGGTGAGTCATGATGAGGGGGGGGGACCGAAGGCTCCCCCCAGGGGGGTTGCTGGGGTTGCTGAGGATGCCCTAGGGGATTGCTAGTGCTTCCGATGGATTCCTAGGATTTCTCTGATTCCCAACGATTCCTACGAATTCGCACGGATTCCTAAGGATTCCGGAGGATTCTTCAGGATTCCTAGAGGATGCTTGAGGATTCTTAGGAATTCCTAAGGATTCCTCGGGATTCCCCCAAGGATTCCTAAGGGTTCCAACGGATTCGTAAGGAATCCGAAGGCTACCTAAGGATTCGTATGGATTCCTATGGATTCCTGCGGATTCCTAAGGGTTCCTAGGTATTCCTAGAGGATTCCCTCGGGACCCCCGGTCGGTATTCAGATGGGATCCCCTATGGATTCCGAAGGATTCCGAAGGATTCCTAGAAACTCTTCGGGATCCCTAGGGGTTCCTAGGGATTCCCAGGCGGTCCTAGGGATTATGGATTCCTATGGATTCCTATGGATTCCTAGGGATTCCTACGGATTCCGAAGGATTCCTATTCATTCCTAGTGAATGCGAAGGGCTCCCAAGGATTCAAATGGATTCATGTGTGATCATAAGGAGAAGTCCAGCAGAGATCTGAAGATCCTTGCTATGGTCTCCCCCTGGGAATCAGCCCTTCTGCCAGAATCCTCAGAAGCTCATTCGATTCAAAAGTCCACCCTGAGAGCCGTCCGCTCTCCCGGGGAATCAACCCGTTTCCCGGAGAGCAACCCCCTTGCATCTTGGATGCCTCTTGGGCCGTCTTGTGCGGTCGGCAGCCCGAACAGGTGAGAACCTCGCCTCCTCGGGTTCTCCTGGAGGGCCTTTTGGAGCCTTCTTGGACCGTCTTGGAGCCTTTCGAGCTGTCTTGAGGCCGAATGGGAGCCTCTCATGCCGTCTTGAGCCATCGTGGGTCGTCTTGGTGTCATCTTTGCTGGCTTGGACGTCGTCTCGAGAGCCATTTTGAGGCCAACCAGGGAACCTGAAAGCAAATGCAGGGGGGTGCGTCGGACGACGCGTACGCCGATGCGGGGGGTCGGCCCTAGAACCCTTCCAGGCAACAGACGAGCAGTTTCACTCGCCCGCCCCGTGCAGGCACGGTTGCAGACTCTGGTCGCCACGGGTCCAGTGCACGCCGTTCTCCAGCAGCGTTCTCGGAGCTCCGGGGCCAAGCTGTTTGGTGCCTCTCAGCGGCACCGTAACGGGTACTTACTAACGGGTACTTTGAATTTTTGCCGAAAGTTGCCACTTTAGGGCCTTTTTCTTGCATTGCAGCGTTGCCCACATCGGGAAGGGTTGGGTTCGCTGGGTCACTGGCCAAAGTACCCGTTAGTGGAGTCCCCGTTTGAGGGGCGCTGAGCCTCAGGATTTTGGGCTTCAGAGTCCGAGTTCAGAAGCATCAGAGTCCGCCAGTCCTTGGAGCCTGCTCCAGGACTTTCGGGTTCCGTTCTGGGTTCGGTCCGAGCATACGCTGGCTGACAAGGTGGCCCAGCACGGGGCCAAAGAGCATGCTGGAATGCCAAGCGTATTGGGTGTCGTGCTGATGTTTCCCAGGTGGCGAGGATCCTGTCTGTCCATATTCCAGCCAAGACGCTGAAGTAAGGACCGCTTGAGATTCGGAGGGGACTCGCTGTTCCTTGGGTCCTCGCGTGGCTGTTCCTCTATCACTCCTCGTGCGATTCTGGGGCCCAGAAGGGGCTTCGTTCCTTACGTAGCGTTCCTGTTGGTAGTTCCTCGGCTGCACATGCTCCTGATGTCCAGCGGCGGCCCAGCTGTGCAGGGACATGCGCTGCCGTGGGCCGGCAAGAGTGGCAGGCCTACCTCGGGGACGGGCCGTGCGTGCCTCTGCTGTGTGCGGGGCTGCCCAGGCTAGCTCGAATGGCTGGTGGCAGCCATTCGGAGGAGGAAGAGGTACACATACCGCTCCCCTTCGCCCGTCTTCTTCTTTTTGGGCCTCATGTGAGGCCCTCGTCGCCAACGCTGTATTCGCTTCGAAATTCTGGTCAGAACGCACCCCGAGAGAGGTCCGGGAAGAAGCGGTATCGGTACCTTTTGGTTTCCTTAGCCATCGGCTGTGTCTAATGGGCCCCTCTCTCATCTGTCATTTGGTGTTCCGCTTTTGGAGCTTCAGAGGCTTCGCGGCTCCGCTTGCTTGAGGAGCCCTGTCCTGGGGGATCCCCGAGATACAGGGGGGAGAGGATTTCCTCGGTCTGCTCAGAGGGGGGAATAATCTGTCCACCAACCGATTGGTGGGCAGAATCTTCCGCCTCAGCACACTATCTAGTTCGTTGTAGCTTTGTACGTATATCTAAGCGTAGTTTTCACGTGGAGGAATACGTTCCGCAGCTTGAGAGACAGCCTGAAGGAGGAGGGTGGTGGAGGTGAAGGTGGAGGTGGAGGTGGAGTAGGAGGAGGAGGAAGAGGAGGAGAAGGAGGAGGAGGAGGAGGAGGAGGAGGAGGAGAGTGGAGGAGGAAAAGGAAGAGGAGGACCAGGGTTGTGGATGGATGAGGAAAGGGGACGAGCGTGGAGGAGGGCGGATGGGGAAAGCGCGGTGCAGGGGAGGGTTGGCAGCTGCAGCGCGAAGGCAACAGCTGCCAACGGGCGCTACGACTGCACGTCCACCGAATTGTGGACCCTCGCCCAGGTGGCCGCGTCCCTTCCATCGTCGTGAGGAAGGTGATGTCCAGGAGAATGAGGAGGATGATAAAAATGATGATGCTGCTGCTGGTGATGATGCAGATGATGATGATGATGATGATGATGATGATGATGATGATGATGATGATGATGATGATGATGATGATGAT